TACTCCTGCTCTTTACAGTAATGTTTGTTTGTCTCCATAGCTGCCCATGTCCAGACACAGAAGTTGCATAAAAAAGCAGCACAGAACGTTGTATCTGTTCGTCAGCAAGCCATGGTATGTCATAGAATTCCTCCTTCCAACCATTGCTCATCTTGACTGTTACAGCATAGCTCAGAATGAAACTCTGAGCCCTGTAACTGAAATACCTGAATGACAGTGTTTTGATTGTAGTCTTTCTGTGCTGCTGCCCTGGATGTAACAACAGGCTCCTGCTAATTGTGCTGTGCACATCACATCCCTCCATGTGTTCAGAAGGGAATGTTTCCCATTGATGCATTTCTCCTCCACACTTCCTTTAAGCTTCCTGAGTTGTTTTGCATAGGTTCCCCCAGATATGCCAGTGGGGCCACAGCAGATCTCAGCTTCCCTATGAAATGACAGTTTGGCTTTCCATCAAAGTCCCTGCTGTGAGGAGAAAAAAATATTGCAGTTTAGACCCCAGGAAGAGCACTGAGCTTTCTCCCCATGCTGTTATTGCCAAAGGCAAGAGCAGTCACTGGAGCCTGGCTCCATTGGGCAGTTGATTTGCCCAATGAGATGTTTTGTTCTCCTTTCTTCTTATCCTTTTTTCTGTTCTTTGGGTTGCTTTCATAGGAGGAACAAGCAAATAGGAAGAGGGAGAGAGACAGAAGTGAAATGGGAGCAGAAACAGGAGCAGAGTTGCCAGCACAAGAAAAGAAACGACAAAAAACCCCCCAGAAATCGGAGGAGCTGGAAGCACCGAGGCAGTTTACCCCCTTTGATTACAGCAATTCCAGCTTCAAAGTGTTTGCAGGTAAGATCTGATCCCGTGCTGGAGTGCTGCATGCTGTGGGAAATGTTACCAGCTGAGCCTTGAGAAGGCTGTGTGAGTGTGGGTGCCAATGCAGTACAGACTGGTACAACGGGATTACCTTATAGTGAGGAAATACTTCAAGAATTGACTTGAGGAATGTACATTTTAGTGTCCCTTTTCTGGTTTGGAAACAAAATCCTGGAACAATTGGGCAAGTGGGTTGTGGATTTGGATTTTGTTTCTTTTATCTGTTTAATTGGAGCCAGGAACTAAGAGGCAAAGGAGATTTGATTCCTTTGTAAAGATGCACCTATTCAAAAACATCTCCTACTCTTAAAAGACTGTTCTGGATTTTACTGTGTGGGAGACTAGTGAAACCTCCATATCATCAGGGGAACACTGTGGAATGCATTGCTCTTAATAGAAAATTTTAGTGACAGAGTCTCTCCTTTCTCTAGGAAGCAGCAAATCAAAACAGTCGCCACAATTTGATCCTGCCAAGCAAGCTTACACAGGCAAGGTATGGGCCTGTCATGAAAGGAGGAACAGAGATGTGGGTGACTGTATGTATGTAAGGGTTCTCTGGGAGGGCACATGATATTTTCTGCATCTCTAGAATGTTCCCTAACAGCTGCTGAGATGCAGCTTCCAATCACAAATTCATGCTTTGTATTATTATTTTTTTCCCATTCAGGAGGAGCTTTCTTGGAGTCCCTCAGACTCTCTTGTTTCCCATCTATTCCTACATTGCTCACACTTTTGCCTCTATACATCACAAGCATGACATTTGGACCACAAATTCCAGTACCAAATTAAATTCTCAAAAATCACAGGCATTCCAGTGATTGCAGAGCATGTCAGGTTTGTGTGTTGCTCGTGTACCTCTCCAAGTTCTGGTGTTAGGAACAGTCTCAGCTCAAAGATTTTTTACTTAACTTATTGCTTATTGAGATGGAAAAGAAGAAAAAACCCATTGATGAACAGACACAATGTTTTGTGCCTGTTTTATGCATACTTAGGGAACTCTGTGACCAGCACAGGGAAGTCAATGAGCAGATTTCTGTGAGATTGGAAAGATCTGGCAGCACGTGAATCTCATTCAATATACTTGGGATGAACCTCACTGTGGTGGTGTTTTATTTGTTTGTTTGTTTCTTTTTGCAGAAATTTGCTGGAGGTAACAAACTTCAACAGTCTGGGAACCGGAGCATGTCCTACCTGGCAGGGAAAGCTGAAAGGTGTGGTTTTAGCCTGTTCTCATCCAGCTGGAGTGTTTGCACACCCCTGCCCCAGAGCCATGGGCAGAGCTTAACTATTGTCCTCCCCTGCTGTGTGAGCTTTAGCATGTGTTTAATGCAAGAGGTTGCATCACACCCTGACATCAGTTTAAAGGGAAAAAAAAACCCAACAATTTAGGATTAATGCAATCAAAGACAAGTCTGGCTGGAAGGTTTGAAATGCTGAGATAAAAGTTTGTGTTAAAGGGTGTGGGAGTTGCTTTCTTTGATCAGAGATAGGTGGAAGTGGGGAGAACATCTGCCTAGCTTGGGAGGAATGACTGTGCTGCTGAGTATGAACCTTCTTGTTCTGAATAGATACTTAGTGTTCAGCTTAGGGGATTTGATTATTGAGTGTTACTTCATCATAAAAGAGCAACAGTACCTAAGGGCAGCATTGGAGAGAGAAAGGTGCTGTCTCAGTCCCCTCTCTTGACAGAATCATTGTAACATGGTCATTTTTCAATCTTGAGTGAATTTAGAGCAAGAGTTAAAGTGCTTGTTTAACTCTTTTGCAGGGGTTCCACGCATCACTGGCCAAAGAGATAATCTCTGTTACAGGACCTGTGGGAGTTGCTGCTGAATGAAACAATTGTTAGAAGTGTTACCACCACGGGAAAGCAAGTGCCAGCTATTGATCAGTTTTTGTACAGGAAAGTTTTTAAAACCATTAAAATTCCTTTTTTCCAAAAGGAAAAAAAAAAACCTCTACCCACTTGTGTTCTCTGTGTTTCAAGATGTGATCCAGATAGCTAAAAAATCCCTCTCAGGGATGGCAGTGGGATATTCCAGTGCTAAGGAAAAACATCTTAATTGATGTCACTTTTGTTATATTGACATTGCTTTTTTTTTATTTTTTTTTTTTCTAATTATACTCACATTGTTGCTTTGTTTATAATTTTCAGTTTATCCAGTGTCCTCAAACACAATCAGGCTAAACTTGTCACTTCCTGGAGCTGCCTGAAGTGCAGAAGCAGCATTTCATTGGAGCATGGGAGGAATCTCTAAAGGTAGCACAGAAATAATAGAGATGCAGCAGATGTGACTCAAACCCCAGCAGTTCAGACAAGGAAATGAGGCCAGAGTGTCTTTCATGATAGACCTTGCTTACAAATTGAACTGCACAGCTCATCTCTTAGAACACAAGGTAATACAGGAAAAGAACATGTTTACTTCTGTGTTTGTGTATTTTAATTGAAAGAGTATATTTTAAGGGGAAAAAAAAATGTGTAGGAGACCAATGGTTTCACCATAAAGTTTCAGAGTCAAAGAGCAGAAGGGAAAAGCACAGATTGGCAGTGTTGTGGTGGGGAAAGGCAGAGGATTCTGTGCTGCAGCTGAATCTCTACAGCCAAATTAACATGTCCAAGTTTTAAATACCCACAGTGAGTTATCTTTCAGTCTTTGTACAAAGAGTAGCAGGAACAGTATAATCAATATTTGATGGGTCAGTGACAGAGTTTATTCTAATGCAGACCCCTGACAGCTGGTAATATTGCTGTGGAGAAGTAGGGAACATGACATTTTAACAGGGCTTTATTTTACAAGGACTCTATAAAGAGATTTAGTTTGTTTTCAGTCTTTTTCCCTGCTTCTGGGAAATAGGGAGTGGAAGAAACTGAGAAGGGGTTTTCCTCCTTGGGTATCTTAGTGTGAACAGTGCAGACTAAGCAGCACTGTAATGGTAGAACAGAGACTTCCTGCTCATAAAATCTGCTTGCACGGCTGGATATTGGAGAATGTTTTGGTAAAGAGGCAGTTAAATAGCAGTTGTCTCCAAGTGCATTTGCAGGGGCTGCCTGTTCCTTCCTTGTCAGCTTTACCAGTTCTTGTTATTTCTTTAACTTGAAGAACAAGTGTTAGCAAAAGCCCTGTTGGCCTGATTAAAACCTCTGGTTTAAATCCTCTGTTTCAAATTCCAAAAAAAGTGACATTTCAAGGTTGATCCTAATTTTGGACTTCTGTTTTCCCTTTATGAGTTGAAAAAGTTTTAAAAATGTCTTTAAGTGACTAGCAACTACATACATGCTTTATTCACTTGGTTGTGCCTGTGAAGTTGTAGCACGAGTTCCTGACTGTGAGGTTGTTTTACTGTTGTGCAGTTGCTGGAGGTCTTTGTGTAACCTGGTTGGAGAACTGCTCTTGGTAAAACCTTGGTGCATTTCTCCAGAAGTCACACATCACATTCTCTAGGGCTGCTGAGCCTCACCTGGGCCCACCAGCACTGGAACTGAATCTGCTTTTGTGATATCCACAGAATCATAGGATGGGTGGAGTTGGTAGGGCCACAGCAAGTCATCTCCATGCTCAAACAGGGTCATCTTAGAGCACGTGGCACAGGATTGTGCCCAGATGGGTCTGGATTATGTCCAGTGAAAAGGACTCCACAGCCTCTCTGGGCAATCCATCCCTGACCTCGGTCACCCACACAGGAGAATTCTTCCTAAGGTTCAGCTGGGACTCCCCGTGCCTCAGTTTCTGCCTGTTGCCTTGTGTGCCAGTGCTTGGCATCGCCAAGCAGAGCCCGGTTCCCTCTCCTTGGCATTTTCCCTTTAGGTATTTACACACCTTAATGAGGAGCCCTCTCACCCGTCTCTTCTCGAGGCCGAACAGGCCCAGCTGCCTCAGCCTTTCTTGCGAGACGCTCTCCCCAATCGTCCTCGCGGAATCCAACACGCAATCCACTCTCCTTACAGCCAGCCCGGACTCTTCCCGAGGGCCGCGGTTGTGCGGGCGGGGCGGGGCGGTGCGGGGAGCGCTCGGTGCCCGGGGCCGGGCGCGCCCTTTCCCCGTGGCGGCGGGGGCGGCCCCGCTCGGCCCCGCTCCGCCCGCCGCGGCCCCACGTGGCTCGGCCGTCACGGCGGGCCCGGGCCAATGGCGGCGCGGGGCCCTGCGCGCGGCTCCGGCGGGGTCAGGCGGCGGCGGGAGCCGAGCGCAGGTGGCCCGGGAGCGGCCGCTCCGCTCCGCTGCGGGATGGAGCGCGGCGCGGCGGCGCTGATCCGCGAGGGCTGGTTCCGCGAGACGTGCCGCCTGTGGCCCGGCCAGGCCATGTCGCTGCAGGTGGAGGAGCTCCTGCACCACCAGCGCTCCCGCTACCAGGAGATCCTCGTCTTCCGCAGGTGCGGGAGGGCGGCCCGGGGCGGTGGGTGGGCGGCGGGGCCGGGCAGCGCCATGCGGTGGGGCCTGGCGGCGCGGAGAGGGGGCGGGGGAGCGCGGCCCCGGGCCGGCTCCAACCCCGCTTCCCCGCTCTGCCCAGCACCACGTACGGCAACGTCCTGGTCCTGGATGGGGTGATCCAGTGCACGGAGCGGGACGAGTTCTCCTACCAGGAAATGATCGCCAACCTGCCCCTCTGCAGCCACCCCGACCCCCGCAAGGTGAGTCGTGCCCGGCCCGCACCTCGGGGTTCCCCCCAGCCGGGATCTACGGAGCCACCCCGGGCCCTGCAGGGCTGCCGGGGCCTGTCGGGGGCCACTCGCGGGCCCCGCGGTTCCTCCCCGGGCTCGGGGCAGCGCGGGCCCGCAGGGCTCTCACGCCGCTCTCCTTTGGCCGCGCAGCCGAAGTTCCACCGAGCCGAGCCCGCTGACAGCCCCGTGCTGTGCCCTCTTCCCTGCCAGGTGCTGATCATCGGCGGCGGCGACGGGGGCGTGCTGCGAGAGGTGGTCAAACACCCGACCGTGGAGTCCGTGGTGCAGTGCGAGATCGATGAGGTGCGTTGTGCTGCGGGCAGGAGCCCCGGGAGCTCGGGCCTCGGGGCGGGCGGGCTGCCCAGCAAAACCAGCCCGGCTTCTCAGCATCCACCGGAGCTGCGGTTTCACCTGCTGGCTCTCGTCAGCACCGGGCGCGTTTGCTGCTGGTTCTGCTGGCGTGACAATGACAGCGCCACCTCTTTGCCTTACAAGTCATCTACGTGGCAGCTGGCTGCCTCTTCCATGTGATTTCTTTCACACGCGTACGATTGAGGCCCTTCCAGGCAGACTTGGGCCAAGCATGGGATCTGGAGGAGTGCCCTGGCTTTTTGGAGGTGCTGCTTTTTCCTCTCCCTCGCTGCCGAGCAGAGTTCTCCTTGCCGAGGAGGATGGTTGCTTTGTTGAGCAGTCTTTGCAACCAAAATCAGGAAATAAGCAGCAGGGATTTGCTTCTGTGATAAATGGACCACTTGCATTAGAAATTATAATAATTTTCTGTCTAGTACAACAAACTTGGAAGGGAGGAAGTCACTCCCAATTTCCAGGGCGTGTTAAGGCTTTGGGTTATTGATGCTGACTGTTACAAGGTGGGCACCTGCTAAGAAACAGCCTGGGACTGGTAATCTGCTCACAGAGGCCTCCAAGTGAGAGTGGGCGTTAGGATGTGGGCTGGCAACTCTGTCAGACCACTGAATTTATTCTTTTCCCAGTCTCCCTCTCAGCCAGTTTTATTTTACTCTACTTTACTCAGCCTGATATTTTACTTTATGAGAAAGTTTTGTTCTGTTAAGGACAGGAAACATTGCTAAATGAGATTGTGTGCTCTGCCTGCCAGCTAAGTAGGCAAACATCCCTGGTTTTAACAAGCACTGCCTGACACCAGCATATTTTTTTGGTTTTGCCAGCTGTGAGAAGCTGGTAGTGTTCAGTACAATTGCTGGGCCCAGGGCAGTGGCTGTCTAACAATTTTAGAGAGAAAACTTTATTTTACAAAGAGATTGATATAATGACTATAGTGCAGAGATGGGGATATTTCTCATCTTGCATTCAGAAACCTGCTGGCATGGTTTTACTTGGGAAGAAAAAGAAATAGATTTAGCTGAGATCACCTATGCAAGCGATGTTCTGTAGGGAAAAGGAGCACAGAGCAGTCTGACCTGTAATCATATTTGCTCAGTTCCTCGGGGAGCTCTTGGAGCTCCAGGTTTTTGTTGGGTTTGGCATGGACAGACCAACAATGTCACCAAACCCTGAGGCTGTAGGAAAAGGCTGAGAGTTGCTTGCTGGCTGAAGATGCTGGCAGCTCTTGTGGATTTCACTGGCGAGTCAGACTTGAGCTGAAGGAAGGAAATGACTCATTGTGCTGTTCTTCCAGTCACAACTGCACAGTAGTCTGAGAAGCAGCTTCTTGTAAGCTTCTGACCCACTTGTGCTCTCTGTGTTGCAGGATGTGATCCAGGTATCTAAAAAATACCTCCCAGGGATGGCAGTGGGGTATTCCAGTGCTAAGCTGACCTTGCATGTGGGAGATGGTTTTGAGTTCATGAAACAAAATCAAGAAGCCTTTGATGTGATTATCACGGATTCGTCTGACCCCATGGGTAAGAATTCTAGCCATAAAAGGGCACTGCTTTCCACATCCCTCCTTCATTTTTTTTCTTCTGCCTACCTCTTGGAAGTTATGCCAGCCTGCTCAGGATCCTTTCGAGTGAAAAGACTCTTGCTGACTTGGTTCTTTTAGTAGGGGAAGGATGGAAACCATGAAATTGTATTAGCAGGCCTTCAAGCCAGCCTTTTACATATCTCTCCTCAAAATTCAGCTCCAGCAACTATTTCTTCTGGCAGAGTTGTTCCCTGAGTCCAGCAATCCCATGGGAGATACAGCTGCTGGCAAGGGCAGCTTTGCACATGTGGCTCACACACTGCTGCTGCAGCCCCTACCCCAAAGACAGCTGTGGTCAGGCTGCTGGATTTCTGAAGGGGGAAACTGAGGTAGAGAGGGACCAAATGTAGATATGGCACCTCATTTTAGCAACCCATCAACGAGTCTGAGTCACCTTCAGTCTTGCTCTAGTCAACACAGAGGGAGGCATCTCTAAAAGGCAGTTTGGAGCAGGAGTTCTGCTTAAAAAATGCTCTGTGAAGCAAGAGACAGCTGCTAAGACTTGGTTTAATGTAGGACCTGGGCTTGCTATTTAGCCAAGCTAAAATTCTGACTGTTTTGCCCCTGCTAGGTGCAGGCTGGGGTTCACCTAGGCTCAAAACTTTTCTTTATTCACCTTTGTCCCAGGTCCTGCAGAAAGTTTGTTCAAAGAATCTTATTACCAGCTGATGAAGACAGCTCTGCGAGAAGATGGGATTCTCTGCTGCCAAGGTGAGGATGCTGTCCCTGGGCAGAGGCTGATGCCACAGACCTTTACATACCAAGTGGGAGGCACAGAGGGGATTCTTCTTGGGGAGATGTGATGCAGGGAGTGAAAAAAGTCACCTCCCAGGTAAAGCAGTGGTTTTGTCTCTGTCAGCTCATTAATTATTGGACTGGGCTTAGCAAAACTGGCATAAGGGTCTTGTCTTTGAAACCACATGAGCTGTACAGGTTGAGACTTGGAACCACTGCTAACCTGGCACAGTTCTGTGCAGGGAAGAGGGGCAGCTCTCACCTTGCATCCTGACTTCCTTTCTCCCTGCAGGTGAGTGCCAGTGGCTGCACCTGGATCTCATTAAGGAGATGCGTCAGTTCTGCAAGTCTCTGTTCCCGGTTGTGGAATACGCCTATTGCACCATCCCCACGTATCCCAGCGGGCAGATTGGCTTCATGCTCTGCAGCAAGAACCCTGTGAGTTTCAGGCACCTCAGGTGTCCTTTTCCATTCCCTAGAAGCCTGCCTGAGGCTGTCCCTTGCAGAACTTGAGCTGTGGCACTGGACTCTCCCAGCTGTGGGGTCTCAAGGTTCTTGATGGGGCCTGGCTCTGCCAGCCCAGAGCCCCAGAGCTGCAGTGCAGCCTGCTCAGTGCTGACTGAAGTGCAGAATGGACCAATTGCTTTAGAAATGGTCATAATTTTCTGTCTAGTACAACAAACTTGGAAGGGAGGAAGTCACTCCCAATTTCCAGGGCGTGTTAAGGCTTTGGGTTATTGATGCTGACTGTTACAAGGTGGGCACCTGCTAAGAAACAGCCTGGGACTGGTAATCTGCTCACAGAGGCCTCCAAGTGAGAGTGGGTGTTAGGATGTGGGCTGCTAACTCTGTCAGACCACTCAAGTTTACTCTTTTCCCAGTCTGCTTCAATGTGTCTGTCAGATGGGTTTGGGGTGCCAGCACTGCTGCACTGTACATGATTAATCTGGGATGCTGGCAGCATGCACCGTGCCAAACTTAATACAAACATGGATTCTCCTTTGAAGAGCAAAGCCTTGTTTCTTGGATGCTCAGGCACTCTCACAGCTTCATCTGGCACATGGCTCATGCAGTCTGACCTCATGCACTGACATCTGTGCATGAGTGCTGCTCACAGGAGTTACAGAGCATAAACCCCAGCCCTTGGAACTGGGGCTGCGCAGAACCTTTGACCTCATACTAGAACAGAAAGTTATTTGTTCTCCTGTGAGTCATCTCAGTTCTCTGCCATGGATCAGAGTGCCTGTCACACAGCCTTTGGCTCCTTACCCAAATAGTCAGAGCTACCTGACTTTGTTTTTTGCAGAACACAAATTTCCGGGAGCCCGTGCAGCAGCTCTCGCAGCAGCAAGTAGAGGAGAGGAGTCTGAAATACTACAACTCTGAAATTCACCGGGCAGCATTCATTCTGCCAGAGTTTGCACGGAAGGTAAGCCAGGCCGTGCCACAACACCTCCCTCAAGGATGAAGTAGGAGTAGATAGGACTGAGGATTTCCTGCAGTCCCAAAGACTTCTGTGGGCAAGTCAGAGCAGGACAACGTTTTGTATGAGAGAGCAGAGTATGAGTCAGTCAGGGAAGACTAGAGTTCATTTAGGAGCTGTTCTTTGGGCTGATGTCCCATGCCTTGATGACAGATCCCTCCTGCTTCACCTACGAAAGCCAGGTCCAAGAGCCTGCAGAGCTGGTGTTTCCCACTGGAAAGCTCCAAAAGTCTTAGATAAAATGTGCTTGTGATTTCTAGTGCAAACCAGAGGGCAAAGAAGGGATGCTCCAGTATAGCTCAGTCTTGCTTTTTGAAGGATGGTCTGTATTTTCACATTATTCCATCATCTCCCCACTGCAGGTTACAGAAAAAAGAACTCCTTAGAGTGTCATAGGAATGAAGGCAAATGCCATAACTGTATTGAGTGATTCATATTTCTGCTGCAGCCTGGCAGAGCTGAGGCAGCTCCATCCTGACAGTTTGTCTTTGGCTCTCTGCAGGCCCTGAGCGATGTGTGAGGCCGAGATGCTGCTTCCTTCCTTCAAGCTGGACTCTGAGATCATCAGTGATGTGGCTGGGATCTTCTCAGCAGACTGCAGATTTGCTCTCCACTGTGTGGGATTGTTTAACCCTTGGCCAGCCAACATTCCCTCTGATGTGTTAAAGATGATGGGGCATAAGCCAGATAAGACTATTGAAAAGGTCCAGTGACTTATTGCGTGAGGTCAAAACTGTTCTTTCCAGTGCTGGAAATGTAAGATGTCTTTTTCCTTTCTCTCCTCCCTGCACCCATTCTAAATTCTCCCAACCACACCCCACATCCCCCCCAACTGACATGATGTATTTATAACTGACACATATTTCTGTCTGGTGGTCTGGGAAGAGTTCAAAGGGTCCCTGACTCAGCCTTAAGCACAGAGAGAGAGAAAGAGAGAGAGAGAGAGCTTTGTGCACAGTTAGCTCACTCTCTCCTCATGGGAGCTTCCTGCTGCTGACACATTTTGACTGGTAACAGGTCTGAGCCTTTGTGTCCCACTGCCCTGCTGTGACTCCTGCACTGCTCTGCAGCACAGCTGGAGAAGTCACAGTGCACTGTTGCCATTCACAATAGGTCTCCCTCCAACCCTGATGGAGTAGCAGTATTAAACACCAGCCAGGCAGGCTGGCAGCAGTCTTGTGGCTTCTTTTTTGGTTGTTAATTTTTAAAATTGGTCAGAAACAGAAGTGCTGAGGTGCCAACAGGCTGACTCCTGTTCTTACCTCTTGCCCTCAAGGAGGTTCCAAAGAATGTTTATCAATATGGTGATAGGTGCTTTATATATATATATCTATATCTATAGATACATAAATATATATCTATAGATATTTAGATATATAAAAAACAAACCTTAGCTCCATTGCCTGATGTTCAGTACTGATGCTGGGGAGTCAGTTGTGCTGACAAATCTCTCATCTCAGTCATGTTGAGATGCCTCAGGCCTGGGTATTTGCAAGTCCTTAGGAGGCATCATTGTTTCCAGTGCTGCCCCCAGATGCATAATTTGTTTTTCACTGTACTCTGTAAGATGGATCTGCCTTCACTTCTTTACTTCTGTTCTGAAGATTCCGTGGTGTGGGAATCGCCCTCCCAGCACAGCCACTGTGCCACTGTCACTCCCTGCACTCAATTAAACACTTGGCTCTGGTTAAGGTGACATCAGTGTGGGTCAGTGTTCTCTGGGGAGAGAGTGGGGGGGGAAAAACAGAGATCCTGAAGGTTTGCTGTGCTTCCAGGTGCACTCTCTAGTCGGTCTGACTTCCTCTCTTATCTTTAGGGATGATGAGTTATCATCAAAATGAAACGCTGAAGTGCGATCCCATTGCATGTTTTGTGTTGTGGTGTAGCTGCCCAATAGCTCCTCTCATCCTCTGTGCTGCAGACTCAGTACCTGCTATCCAAGCTGTTCTCCAGTCCAAGTGCTGCCTCTGTCACAGTTTTCCAAGTGCTTTTCCAGCTTCCCATCTCCCTGCTGCTGTCAGGTAGCTCCTCTCAGCCCTGGCCCCATGGAGCTGCTTCTTTTCCACTGCAGCAATGGTGGTGCCTCAGGGGCTCTGAGGGCTGAATCACTGATTCAGGCTGGGGAAAGGCACTAGGTGGCATTAAGAAAACACAAAAATGCTCCTTCTGAGAAGCTTTTTGGCTTGGTAAGAGAGAACTAGAAGAAGCAGACTTCAGCTGGGGTTGGGGTTGAGCTTTGCCATGATAAGTGACCCTACAAACAGTGCAGGTGCTCCAGCCACTCTGTGCCCACAGCAAAGGATTTGTGGGGTCAGTACTCTCCTGCTTTCTCCTGTTTCTGATGGGACCTGGCACTTCTTTCCTTCTGCAACCTGTATTGGTACAGTTTCTTTGTGGTCCCAAGAGCTGCAGAGCTGAGTCTAGATCTCTGTATTCTGGTGTTGAGAAGATAACACCTATTTTTCTCTTGATTGTCCGGGTGACTGTCTTCTTTCTCACACAATTAGTTTGGGTTAATGAGGCATTTTCATTGCTCCATTCTTGTATTTTTATAAGGAGCAGACCAGTAATGGAGGCTGGTTCTAGCTGCTCGTGTTGAAATTCCTGTGGGTCCTGAACCTCACTCAGCCTTTCATCCTTGACAGAAAATGAGCTCACTTTTCCCTAGAATGGGAATCAAGACCAGGACTATGGTCTGGGAAGGCCTTAGAGCAGCAGCCAGCCAGTAACAAGTTCAAGCCTTTCACCCATCCTTGGTGAGTACAACAATGCCCAGGAGGGAAAGAGCTTCCTCAAACCTGTTGTTGGCCTCCACACAACTAATTACTCCTTCTGGTTCTTTGAGCTCTCTCCAAATACGTGAGTTCAGCGAGTGGCCAGTGATGAGAGCAGAAGACAAGACTGTTTCCCATCCAAGTCACACATACTCTGTCCACAAAGCCCTATAAATCTAGTTTCTGAGTGATTCCAAGTCACTGTTCCCCACAGAGAGTTCCAAACACTTCAGTGCCTTCAATGTGAGAAGACAGAGCTCAGTGCCTGAATCAACACTCATTAAATGAATGCAGCAAGAGAGGGAGCAGGGGCTTGTGCAGCTGTGGTTGGTCCCACCTGAGCAGCTCTGAGCTTCAGGACGTAAAAATCACCCCTGTGCTGAGCACTGCCACAGCTCTATGTGCCCTGTGAGCTGCTGGGATGGTGTTTGGCACCTGCAAGGTGGTTGTGTCTACAGATCCATCATCCCTTCCACAAATTTGTGTCTGAGCTGTTATGCTGCAGGATGTGGTGGCCAAGGGACGCTGGGGGTTGAAGAGACACTGGAAATTTGGGTAATGCTCAACAGGAGGAAACTGGGGTCTCATGTAGAACTGAGCACTGACCACTTTTGCAGTGTCTCTAGGTGGGCAACTGAAATACCTTTTTCAGAGTTTTAGCTGCCATTTGCCTAAGGCTAGTTAAGCTATACTGCTCATAAGCAAAGAGTCACAAAGGTGATGTTTGTCTAGACATGCTGCAGTCGTGTTCCAGCATCTCATCCAGCCAGGAGCATGTGAACAGGGGATAGGCTTTGTCCCAGGTAACGTAAAATGTCAGAGCAGGTGGAGACAAGCAAGGGAATGGAGGCTGATGGGCTTTTTAATCCATTGCTTAAGTTGCTTGGCACCTTTTGAACTGTGTCAAACTGCCCTGAGCTTTAGTCATTGAACTAACTCAGTTTTTAGAAATTCAGAAGAGTTTCAAAAAATTGAGAGAAACCTCTTGCCTGTATCTCTTGAGCCTTTTCAGTCAGTTAATTGGCCTGAGTGTCATATTGACCCAGAGCTGATGTTATTGAGGCCTGGCTGAATTATTGATGGAGCTTGGCTGGAACAAGAGGCTGTTGAAGAATGACATTCATCAGAACAGCAAGCAGTCAAATCAGTAAGCAAGCAGTCAAAAAAGTAGAGGAAAGTTCCTTTGCTAAAATGATGGAAGAGGGAAAAGTGTGGACATGAAAGGACAGCTTAGGTCTAGCAGAAGAGCCAGACAAAATGCTGTTACAAAGATGAGAAATCTAAAGTTAAATACTGAGAAGTCTGGGGAATGCTCTTTCCTACTCATGTGTTGGATGGAGTTTATTCCTTCTAAAATATGCAAAAGATGGGGAACTGGAGCCACAGAATTGCAGTTGTAGCACAGTGATGTGTGAAGCAGATAAAGATGGGGGTGTTTTACACATGGTAGGGATCTCAGTGCAGGCCTTTCAAGGATCAGCAGTTCCTTGAACTGGTACTTAAGGGCTGCTGCAGCAACCCACAGCCAGGAAGGAATTCACTAAACAAAGCTAATTCTGTGTGAAGAGCAAGATATGATGAATATGATGCCTCTGCATGTGTTTTGCCTCCTTAAGCTGTAGGAGAGAAGTAACCAGAACCTCACAGGATCTGCAGTTCCTGGTTAAGGCTCTCCCAGCCATGCAGGACCTCCTTTAGTGCTCCCAGTCTCACAGACCCATGTGTTAACACCCCTGGTGAGGTCTTGGAATTGCCACGAGGTGCAGTGCATAAGCAATCCCTCAGATAATCCAAATGATAAAGGAATGTTTCTATCCAACTCTTGTCCAGCCAGTCTTGCCACCAATGGGACAATTCTGGTGTAACAGAGGTCATGAGTGGGTAGACAATAACCCCAAACTGCACAGCCTGAAATGCCTCCTGCTTGGAGCCAGGCAAAATGTTTCAGTGTTTCCTATTCTTAAATAGGAGAGTTTAATAGTGAGTAGTTATTTCTGAGGAAGATTTTTGGTGGAATAATTGAAATGCTTAACTGCATGCAGTCAAATAACAGAAGGCTTTGAGCATACAGGTGAAACTTTTTGCTTGCCCTTCCCTCATCGTCCTGCAGTCCCTTTGGGGCTGGCACACAGAGAAGGCTCCCTCTCCAGAGAGCTGTGACAGACTTGTGGTTGTGAGAGCAGCATCCCCGTGGTTCTTCCTCCCCTCCTCAAACCAAGACATCCTCCTCTTCCTCCTCCTCCTGGCAGCTGCTCTGAGCAGGGATGAGGCTCCTGCCATCTCTTCCCTGGGTTTGTTAGATTAGTGCCAGTGAAAAGCCATGGCTGAAGCAGCCATCTGCACACTCCTCCAGGGCCCTGGGGAGAACAGTGCCAGGCAAAACTGCAAACCTGGCCTGTTTAATGAGCTCTCATTTCAAGCCTGTGAATGAATTGGTTTCCCCTTCCAGAAAGGCTCACAACTGTCAGCTAACTATTGCTTTATTTATTGCATTCACCTTTGTAACCTGAGGGCAGAGAACAAGGTTTCCAATGACACCAATGACAGAAAGGTGTTTTAGCTTCCCTCTGCTGCAGGTGAGTGCCTTTACCTTTGGGAACCAGAGACTTCTGGAAGCTTGGTGTGATCTGCTGAGTGCTTCAAACAATGGGTGACCTGAACCCAGACCAGGTAACAAACAGCAAATATCCACGCCATAGATGAGAGAAATTGAGAAATTATCTCATTCTTTGATGTGGCATCTGGTGCCAGACACAGTGACAGCTCTTCTGTTCCTGCAGCCCAGTCTGTGCTGCTGCACAGACACACAGGCCTCTTCCTTGGGTGACAAAACCTCTCCCACTGCATGTTGTATGTGCAGCCTTTGTCACAAGGAGATGGGGTTCTCTTGAGTGATTGTGGAAGCATATTCTGCTGTGCTTCTGAACCCACTCTGCAGCTCTGCTGGAGCCATGCTGTCAGACAAAATCCTTGGAGAGGCAAGCTTTTTCCAGTTGTTGAATGCAGAAATCCCTCCTGGAGAGGGCTCCACTCAGGTTCCCATGGTTCTGGTCACAGCTGCACTGATTTCAGAGAGATCTGAGTGCAGAAATCCACTCAGGCCACGTGCAGCTGAGGGCAGGAGAGGATCAAGGAACATGACTTCCAAAGGGGAAATCAGATAACAGAGAAGGTGCTAAGAGGAAAGAATAATCAGAAATGTTTATTGTTCCAAGGGAAGACTTTTACCATTTCCTGTACAGGATCATAACCATTTAAGGGTCAGGAAAAAAAAATTAAAAATTAAATAAATAAATAAATAAATATATAAAATTTGAGGCCTTCTTAAAGGTCAGACAACTAATGCACATGGAATAGGAACAGTAGCAATAAAGAACAATCCTGGTGCTGTACATTCAATTCTATCTGATTACAAAAAAAGAGCCAGTTTCATCACCAGAGAGTTATTTTACTCCCTTTGGAGAAGGAGATGGTGCTATATCTGGTGCTGGGGAGGTGGTCAGCAGCATCTGCAAAGGGGCTGGAGGACAGACCGACATAGGGGAAGCAGCA